TGTGAATGAGATTTCACAGAACCAGGGCTGTAGAACAACTTAGTTTACGTAGGTAAAACCTGGCTAGAAAGAATATGCACATAAAAGCCTACGAAAAAGGAAAAAAGACATATGTGTGTGTGTGTGTGTGTGTGTGTGTGTGTGTGTGGTATATGTGGGTTAGAAGAAAGGACACATTATAGCTGCAGATGCTTCTGCTTTGCCTTATCTAATGTATTTATTTATTATTATTTATTAATTCAATTTGTATGCCACCCCTCTCCGAAGACTCAGGGTGGCTCACAATGCATTTAAAATCATTATAAAAAACATTTAAAAATTTAAAACACTAAAACTCATTCATACCATTCATGGCCGGATCTCGACGGATCACAAGAGCGAGATCAACGGCCCCAGGCCTGCCGGAAAAGCCAGGTCTTCACCGCTTTTCAGAAGGCCAATAGGGTGGGGATGGTCCGGACCTCAGGAGGTAACTGGTTCCAGAGAGCTGGGGTAGCCACAGAGAAGGCCCTCCCCCGTGGGCCCTCCAGCCGGCATTGTTTAGCTGACAGGACCCGGAGGAGATCAACTCTGTGGGATCTTACCGGTCGTTGGGAGTTATGTGGCAGAAGGCGGTCTCGAAGATACCCTGGCCCTGAGCCACGTAGGGCTTTAAAGGTAATAACCAATACCTTGAATTGTGACCGGAGACCAATAGGGAGCCAGTGCAGCTCGCGGAGAATTGGTGTAATGTGGGTGTACCTAGGTGCACCCACGACAGCTCGTGCGGCTGCGTTCTGGACCAACTGTAGTCTCCGAACAGTTTTCAAGGGTAGCCCCATGTAGAGCGCATTGCAATAATCTAACCATGAGGTGACAAGGGCATGAGTGATCATGAGGAGAGCCTCCCGATCCAAGTAGGGTCGCAATTGGTGCACCAGGTGAACCTGTGCAAAGGTCCCGCTAACTACAACTGTCAGATGTTGCTCTAATCTCAGCTGTGAGTCTAGGAGGAAACCCAAATTGCGAACTCGTTCTGAGGGGAACAATTTCTCCTCCCCCCCAATATTTATTTCTTATCTGTATTAAAAATACAGGTAAGAAATAAACTTAAAAAAAAAGCTTCTGATTTCTGACAGACTGAGTCTCTACTGAACCCCCATTGGAGCAGGTGAATAAGTAATTGGGATCATAGCAGTTACCTTCGCTACCGGTTCAGAACTGTGAGTGTGTGCGCGCACGTTTGCTTCGCCCATGCGCAGTGCTTCTGTGCATGTGCAGAACCTTCTACGCATGTGCAGAGCATCAGTGATGACATCTGGGTGGGTGGGCAGAGCCTCCCGCCGCCGCTGCTGCTGCTGGTTCGCCCGAACCTGGGCGAACTGGTAGAAACCCACCACTGGATCATAGGTAATAAAAATAATGATAAAAGTCTATAAAACTCTGATAGATCACTAGATAGACAGACAGACAGATATAGATAGATGAGAGATAGAGATGATAAAGATGATAGAGAGAGAGAGAGAGAAGGAGAGGGAGAGAGAGAGAGTTTAGAGAGAGATTAGAGAGGGGTGTCAAACTGGCGGTCCATGGGCCAGATGCGTCATGCACAGGCCACTCCCACCCCAGCTCCACAAAGGGAAAAAACACTGTGAAATGTCACATGATGGTAATGTGACACTGCAAGTTTGACACTAATGGATTAGAGATAGAGATAGGATGGGGATGGGGATGGGAATTATTATTATTATTTTATTATTATTATTTATTGAATTTGTATACCGCCCTACTCCCGAAGGACTCAGGGCAGTGAACAGCCAAATAAAATACATATAATACAAATGTTAAAAAATCATTAAAATACAATTAAATAATTGGCCCGGAAAATGAAATTTAAAACACCCCAAATTCATAAGACAATTTAAAATTTAAAAATTTAAAAAAGTTTAAAAAGTTTTAAAAAGTTTAAAAGAGAGGTTAGGCCAGGCCGGCCTGCTGGAAAAGAAATGTTTTGATGGCATGGCGGAAAGTGCGCAGGTCCGGGATCCTCCGTATCTCCGGGGGGAGCTCGTTCCAGATGGCGGGTGCCCCCACAGAGAAGGCTCTCCCCCTGGGGGCCGACAGTCGACATTGTTTGGCTGACGGCACCCTGAGGAGCCCCTCTCTATGGGAGCATACTGGTCGGTGAGACCAGTACGGATGGGGATGGGGATGGGGATGGGGATGGGATGGGGATGGGGATGGGGATGGGGATGGGGAGAGAGACAGACACAGACACAGACTCAGAGAGATACAGAAACACACACACACACACACACACACACACAGAGAGAGAGAGAGAGAGAGAGACAGAGACAGAGACAGAGGCAGAGACAGAGACAGACAGAGAGAGAGACAGAGAGAGAGACAGAGGCAGAGACCGAGACAGAGAGACAGAGATATTCCTTTATGGTACAAAATTCATCCACTTTCTCATTTTTTTGAGAATTGAACTCCTGATAAGGATTTGTTAAAGTGTTTGGTCCTAAAATATGACCAGGAAGTTAAAATGGCATTGGTAGTTTAGAATGTACAGCAACACCACACAAAATGAGCTGTTGATACCATATAGGTGTCAACTTGCAAAGCTTTCAAGTTGCCATGAGCAGGAGTAGATACTAATACTTTTTTTGTGTTCAAAAGGACTGATAGAAATATATTCAAAATATGGTTTCCTCAGACTTCTGCCATAAAATGGGTACGCTATGGTGCTACCAAAATAAATAAATAAATAAATAAAAAAGCTCAACTTGAGTTTTCATGCTTATTATCTTGTTCTTTTATTTCTTTGGATGCCAATGGCTTTTACACACTGGGTCAGCCTCTTGTTAGCTTCCATGAATCTCAATGGCATTCACAAACTTCAGGACAGGTTCCTCTACTGCTTTGCTCTCCAATTGAGTGATAAATATAAAAAGGGGAAGACTCAGTGGGAAAAAAGAGTCATTCAAGCAAAGGAAATGCAGTCCTTTACCATGTTGTTGGGGGTATCTGAGAACCGGTGAGATTTCTTCTAAGCTTCAAAGTGACTTTCCAGTTGTCAATCTCTCTAAGTGAGATTCTTGAAGGAAGAGGGGTGATTAAAGACCGTTCCACTGGAGACAAAGGACAACGTCTGTACAGCCCTTCTCCCATTTCCCATGGCTAGCGCGAGCAAAGTACGTGATGAAAACCATGACTCATTACAGAATTAATTGTGCAAGATGAAGGAATGGATTTACATCTGCTTGATGTGCCTAATGGCTTGGGGTGGCAAGATTCAACGGTGACAATGCAGAAATTATTTGGAGCGTTCTGCTTGTAAAATGAGCGTTTTTTAAATTGATACTTACGACCCCGTCCACTCTGCCTTGACAAATGAGGGAGAGAATGGACTACCTTACAGCATCCTCAATTTGCTCTCTTGGGCAGCACTGATGTTGGGCTAAATCTAAGCTAGTATAAGAAGGGAAGGGGAAGCTTGCAAGGGATTCATTTTGGAATAATATAATATCCTGTTGGTCTTGCACACGTGTAAGTGTGCATGTGCATAAACAAACATTTATATGCACATATATATGACCCCATTTATTTGCATTTACTTCCTTTGTTTATGTTCATGTTCATACCTATATTTGTTACCTTGTACATGTTTGACAAATAAATAAATAAATAAATAAATAAATAAATAAATAAATAAATAAATATACACACAATCATATATACTGTATCAAGTTAAAGCATCAGCATACACATACATACAGTATTCAGGTGGGGGTGGGCGGGAATCCTTTCTTGTATATTCCCAGTTTAGGTCAGTAACAATTGGTGTGGCTAGTGTTGAGAGGAGTCTTAAAGGCATAGTGGTTATAATCCTTGCGCAGACATGTAGAACAATTTATTCAACCGAGAAATATATATTTATATAAATTCTCTGTAGTTTATTTACTTTTCCACTGGGCCTTCCTTCCTTCTTTCCTTCCTTCCTTCCTTCCTTCCTTCCTTCCTTCCTTCCTTCCTTCCTTCCTTCCTTCCTTCC